TAACATTCTTTAACACACTCTTTCTTACACAATCTCTAGTAGTAGTCAAAATTTATTAGAAACTACAAATTCGTTAGCAATATCTCACTCATTAAATAAGAAATAGGACCCATACAAATTTGTGAGTTCCAATCGATTCCAACTAACAAGAAAGACTTAAAGGGTGCGTTTTAAAAGACTTAGACTTGACGCATCTCTCTAGATAAAAATAATTGAATATAAGAACCAGAGTTTGCTTATCTTACGTAATGGTGTGATTTTAATCCTTTAACAGCTAAACAACATAAACGATTCAAGCATCTTTAGCAGTAATCCAATGACATAAATTCCTATGGTCATTTCCATTTACTATTTGGGATGGTCACTTGATTTTAATTGGGGTGGAATAGGAAAATATAACAACAATGGTAATATATGGGATATGGTAGGAATCGATTTTAAAAATGAAAAACGAAATTGATTCGTTCCAACAAAAATAAAAGGTTTTAGGGCTTTATGATACAGATTTGATTGGTTTTCAGGTTATTTTTTTCAATCTACTGGTTTAAAATGGCTTTGATTGGATTCAAAAACTCGTGTTAGCAAAACAAATAACCACTAACAAATAGAATAGTTGATATCCAAGTTACCTGATTAAAATCTCTCCCAAATTTCCAGTAAACTGTCCCTCAATGTACTCTTCAGTGTTGGCCAGCTACAGAGACAAATCACAGATATTAAAAAAAAAAAATCAACTAAGCCAATAACTATTCTACGAGAATAACACATAAAGAATAATTTAGACATATACCTGCAAGTTCATATAGGAGTCAACAGAAACGAGATAACCTGAAAAAAAAAAAATTCCATGAAGCATTTGACCAGCTGATGAAAAACACTGAAATGAAACGAGTAACAGTTACACAACAGCAGAAAAATGAATCCATAACAAAGCATCATACCCTTGTACTCCATTCCCCACTTAAGTTTCACAATCACAGGCTTCCCAGTCAAATTGTTCAAGAAAGGCTTGGGATTAACGGGTATGGTCTGCAAAAGATGAAAGAAACTTATAAATTAAGGCACATTCAATGAACTTGGGCTTAGAGCGAGAAGAAAAACGAGCAATGAAATCACTGAGTTCTGAAGATGTGGATTAAGTGCATAAAAGAAGATGGAGAAGAGGGAAAGAAGAATATACTCACAGCCATGGTAGAATGTTATGCTCTGCAACAAATTGTTGAAGCTAACTCACAGTCACAGAGGTAGTTAGGGTTTTGCCCAAAGTCCACGGGAAGAAAGAAACTGAGATGGGTTCGGGTTTTCTTAGAGAAGCCCAACGGTAGTTGTTATTTACACCCCTATTTTTTATTAACGCACCTCCCTTTCCTATTTATTTCGTTTTGAAAAAACGAATTCAATTTTGACGAGGTAACTAGAACAGAGGCCACCAATGAGATGGATAATGGTGTCTTGGTAAGCAGTAGTTGGCCCAGTTAATTCAGTAAAATTATAGATAATTCAATTGTAACGTCTAATTATAATAATTTATTATAACGACTAATTAAAAACTAGTTTTTCTTAATAATTATAATATTTATAAAACTTTATTTAATTTATCAAATTATTTAAAAATTTAAATTTAATTTTTTTAATTATGTAAAAAATCACTAGAATCAATCCCTATAATTATTTAAGAATTAAATTTTAATATTTTTAAAATAATTTATCAATTAATAAAAATGCTATTATGCTATAATATAAATTATTCATGGGGAAGCAAGGTTGAAAACTCTTAACCAACCTCGATGCTATATTCATTCGTGTTTTCAAAGCAAAATACTTCCTGAAAGGGGATTTTTTTGGGACTCACTTGGACCATAACTCAAGCTATATATGACGTAGCATATATGCTTCAGAGGTTGTGGTTAAGAATGGGATTCGTTGTCGTGTAAGAAATGGCTCTAGCATAAATATATGGAAGGATTCATGGCTACGTATCCCAAATAACCCCTAAATTTTTTCACCCACACCACTAGGGTATGATCAACTTGTGGTGAGAGATCTTATCAATCTACCTTTTGGTAGGTGGCACCAGAATACCATATCCACATTGTTCAATCAACGTGACATCCAGGCCATTCAATCAATCACATTCCTTCGTCTAGATGAACCTGACATAATCACATGGACTCTTAGTAGGGGAGGCACCTATATTGTGAAGTCCGCCTACTACCACATCTCAAGCAAAATCTCATATCCATTACAGACCTCAAGATCCTAGGAAATTGGAAACTTTTATGGAAAATGAAAGCCCTTCATGCGATGAAGATTTGAGCAGCAAAAACTGGTATCAGTAAAAGTTTGGTTGAAAAGAAGCCCAAAGACCTTTTTTTTTATAAAAGATAAAAGCTAGAAATAACTGGTACAGAAATAGAAATTGAATGTATATAAAATTTTATATGGATATGGGGAAAGGGATGTTCACATAAGTAAATCCAAACATGCCCATTCCTATAATATAATATCATAAAATTACAATACCCCAATAAAGGTGGCAGAGCCTCCTAGTTAGGGATTTTATACCAAAATATGTAAAAATCAGAGTAGATAATACTGAAACGGAAAACAGAGAGATAACTATGATAGTTTTTAGAAATACACAATGAGTTATAACCTTTAACACAGTATAAAATATAATGAAAAACCTGGATCTTTTATTTGAAAAGATAATAGAGATTTTAAGATGAGGAAAAATAGTTTTCTTGCATCTTCTGGCAACTTAGAGGTCCTACTTCAGCCCACTCCTTTGGGTCTTACAACTGCCTCAGTTCTACCTGCAACCTAACTATATTTTCCAAAACAGTTATCAAGGGCACACCTGAAGATTCAGGCTTACAAATCCCAGGTTTTCATAAACCAAATTTTCTTTTCAATAAAGGTCCAGTATTCTAAATTATATTTGCATGTGTTAAAAGAAATAATTACGACATTCTAAAAACTACCAAAGAAATGGTTTAGCCAGCCATTGTACAAGAAATACTTACAAATATTATTTATGAGAGGAGAAACAGTACAGACACACAGAACACACTTGGAGAACACTCTTAGCACACTCTAGATATTCCTGAATTATTTTCTCTCGTGTTTTTCAAGTGAACCAAGGGGGTTCTTTTATAGAAAACCTATATACTAGAAGACAAAACAAAGAACAAAGACACTTTTGCCCCTTCAGTCAAGTGAGGTAATTATTACCACACATTTACTCTTTCGCAGGGCGACAAACTCTGACAAAAGATAAAAATTACAACAAGCCTTATCTAAAGTAGATTCTTTTTAGATAAGGTTTTTGTCAAGACAGTTGTCTTTGCTGTTGATGTTGTCCTTTGTAGAGGTCTTAGTCTTCTATTTTGAGACTAATATTTCTTCATCTTCTCCGACATCTTGCATTTCTGATGATCCAGCCATAGACTGTGTATCAGTGGGTGTTTGTTGGCCAAAACATCCACCATCTTCATAGATTTCTTTGTGCCTTTTTTCCTTTTGGAAGAAATGCACAAGTTTGTTGTTGTTTTCTAATGGAAAGGGGATAAAGAACTTTCCATTTTCAGTTGGGAGAAACAACTTTGTGTTATGCGACTCTTTAATTAGGTTGAATTCTTCCTCATCAGTAGTTGAGAAGAACCAGTTGTATCCCATTGCTTGAGCCCTGTATAGGCAATACTGGTAGTGAGAATTGCCTTGAACATCCCATGATTCATACCCATCATGGTATAGAACTCCTAGATATTCTTTATGTCCCTCAGTAAGTAGCTTCATTACATGAGTAGGATACTGGTTTGTTGAAAAATTACTTGGACAAGTAACAATCTTCACGGTAAGGTGGCACATGAAAATTGCTTGTATCGAGTTGATGGCTTCACTGATTGAAGGGTCAAAACCATCAAACTTTTCAGTAGGATGAATAAGAACAGAGTCTAAACATCCATAGTCCAATAATGTTTTGATATTTATAGGCAAGTCCTCGAAGATGACAGGCCTAAAGTGTTCTAGATCAAGTTTTGCTTTTCTGAACAAGAACTTGATTTTACAGGGGCATCTCCCGTTTCTGATTTCTTTGCAAAGGGGAGATTCTTCTATACAGGCAAACCGTTGATTGAAATAGCTCTTGACTGCTACATATAAACCTGTAACTGAATGAGGCTCCCTGTGTGCTTTTAACAAAAAATTTTGTAAAATCAAAAACTTCTTCAGGTTTAATTCCTGAGGAGAAATAGGGTTTTGTCTCACAGCCTCCTTAAACGAAGTTGGCTGAGGTTTTCGCAAATTTGCATGAATGACATTTGTTTCAGGTTCTGGATTCAGAGCCCTTTTTATTTTTGTCATATCAGTGGTATCTAGTTCCAAAGCCTTTTCTGATTCTTCTCGAGAATAAAAGCCTTTGTAACGAGGATTTTGTAAACCTTCCTTGGCAGTGCACAAGTCGGTAAAATTTGTATAAACACCCTTATAAGGGCCAGATAACAAGACAAAATATGTGTATCCTTTTCCTGAAGGAGAGGCTTTGTTTAGGAGTGGAACTCCTTGATTGTCTGTTATACAGAATTTATACAAGGCGCATATAATGCCTTTCTTTATTGAACAGATCAGTTGCTCATTTGTTTCTGTATATCTGGGGATATTCCAGATGTTGTCAATTATACAATTGAACTTTTCATTTGTGCTTTCTCTACCAGGGTAAAGAAATTCATTTGTCAAGATGGGAAGCTCTTAGTTCCCAAACTTCATTTTTTGTCGAACACCAGGGTATGAAACCTTAGAGGGTTTCATGATTTGTTGTTCCTGCAAAACGAGATAAAATATCAGCAACAACATTTTTATTTCCTTTAATGTGTTCAAAAATTATTTGTATCCCATTATGATAGACATGTTCTTGAAACAAGAGTCATCTTTTGTGGGGTTTTTTGTCAGTTCTTATTTGAGAATTACCATAGGCGACTATTGCTTCACAATCAGTTCTGATAGTAATTTCCTTTTTGTTAATTAAAAACAGTTCAAAAGTTTTTAAACTATTTATAACAGCATTTACCTCGTAATCTGTAGAAGTAGAATATACCTGAGGTTTTGTGTGATATTTTCCTGAAGCATATCTACAAATTTGTTCTTCAGAAATATTATCATATTTATTTTTCTTTTTCTTTAGGATAGCTCCCCATCCTAGTTCACATCCATCACATTCAATTACTAAATAGTCTGAATCTAATGGTAATGCTAGAGAAGGCAAATTTTTTACCATTTCTTTAATTTGTTTGACCAATTTTACATCTTCGGAATTAAACTTTCTTTGACCTGTTAAACTGGTTTTATTGTACAAGGGTGCGGTATATTTACCCAAGTTTTTTATAAAAGTTCTTGCATAATTTAGAAGACCTAAAAAGGCTCGAAGCGTTTTTACATCTTCCATTTTTTCAGGAAAAGCAAGAATTTTTTGTGAAATATGGGGTTGGAGCTTTATTTTTCCATTCCCAATTTCGGTTCCCAAAAAGGATATGTGTGTTTTGCATATTTTCATTTTTGATTTTGAAACAATTAGACCGTATTTTTCGAATAGGTGTAAAACTTGTTTCAAGTGAAGAAAATGTTCTTCTTTTGTTTTTGAAAAAACAAGCACATCATCAATGTATGTACAAGTGAATTCTTTATATTCTCCAAAAATATTATCCATTTTTCTTTGGAATATTTGTGGGGCGTTTTTCAAACCAAAAGGCATGACTTTCCATTCGAAAAGACCTTCAAAGCAGGAAAAAGCAGTCCATTTTATTGAGTCAGGGTGCATCTTTACCTGATGGAATCCTGATTTTAAATCGAATTTTGAAAACCATTTTGCTTTCTGGATTCTATTTATTAAAACATCTTTTGATGGTATAGTATAACCGTCTATATGAGTATTATCATTAAGACGTTTATAATTATAAACCATCCTTGTTTTACCCCTTTTTTGTTCGGAGTGTTTATTCACAATAAAAGCCGGGCTTCTATGTGGGCTTGTACTCGGTTCAATAACCTTAAGGTCAAGCAGTGCTTTTATATGAATTCTACATTCTTCTTGTTCGAAGTTCCCATAAGGAATATCTTTTGTTTTTATTATAAAATCATGATTTATAATATCTAATTTGCAAATGACAGGATCTTTTTCCCAATATCTAGTAGGATCTTCTCCTATTATACTGGATTTGTTTAATCTGTCAATGATTTGTTGGATATTGTCAAAAGTTATAACCTTATTAATCTTAATGCAGTTATAACAGTCAATATTGGTTTGTGTTAGAGCCAATTCGTAGAAATTC